TAAACAAGAAATAAATCTATACCACGAAATAGGGGCTGGAAGGGGTTAATCACTTATGAATGAATCACGTCCTTTAATATTTATAAATAACGCTTCTTAACGTTTTACAAGGTATCCATGTTTTGTTTTGTTTTTTTTTTTTTTTTTTTTGTTTTTTTTTTTACAAATGCCTCTTACCAATTGATGTGGGTAAGTGCTTTTACATGGTTCCTGGAAGGGGTGGAATAAGTCCTGGTCATTGGTTACTTTACTATATTCATTTGTTTTAAAAAAAAAAAATGAAAACTGTAGGAAGAAGGCAGTGACAGATTATTTAATTTAAACATTTTCAAGGACTAAACTTTAGAAATTATGTTTACATTACACACCATAAGGTGTACGATTCCATCAAGCTTACCAACCAACTCAAATTTAGCAACCAACATAAATTCAAGAAAGCACAAAAACAGATTATCCGAAGGTAAAGCAGATTTTTTCAACAGATAATTATTGATTAAATTTTGGGAAATAGTAGATCTATTATGTGTAAACTAATGCATATTTGGGTTGAAATATTTATCATCAATGTCTCTAAATTTTCAAGTTTTTAAGAATAATATTGCAAAGTAAAATGGATTTAGGCTTTTTCTGTCAACTTCTCTGAAAAGGTCACAGGAAAACATAATTTGACTGTCACTGGAAAAGTGCGGGCTGTTGAATAGAGTCAAAAACGTACATTTTAGAACAAGGACTTAGTCTACAAAAACAACAAGAGTGTTTTTACATGCATGTAGCACAATTTTCTACATACAAGTCACTCAATATGGTAAGTGTATAGGCTTTCAATATTTTGACTTGGCTACATTTTTATCTATAAATGACCTTAAAAAAACATTCTCATAGCATTTTCACATTATGCATCAAGCTAAAGATGAGAATGTAATTTATTTACCATGCAGTTTCAGTAAAAAAAATTGTATATAAAACAGGGTACGCTTTCACAGTATCCAAGTATAAATGCTTTATTAAAAAGCTAATTCAGGGAATCTGTGTCCCCTGCTTAAAGAAAAAAGAAGAGCGTGTATGGAACTAGAGGGGTGGTGGGGGTGGGGGGACGGGACACTTTAAGAGGAGCGGGCGGGACCATAGGGAGTTATATAAAATTTCTTTGCAAAAGATTAAAATCTTTTTGAGATATCACTCGGAAATTAAAGTTTTACACACAAACAAAATGTATAAATTTTTGACATTGACCTTTTGACCTCGAAATCAATAGGGGTCTTTTTTAGTTCATAGGAAGTTGTGCTTTAAAATTTCGATGCAAAAGCTTGAAGGCTTCTCGAGATATCGCACAGAAATAAAGTGTTTAAACAGAATTTATGTATTCACGACCTTGACCTTTGACCTTAAAATCAATGGGAGTTTTCCCTAGGCCACAGGGATTTTTTAATGCAAAATTTCATTGCAAAGGCTCAAAGGCTTCTCGAGACATCGGGCCGAAACAAAAGTGTAACAGAAAAACAGCTTGATAGACGGTCAGACAGACCCAAATCAATATCCCCCACTTTCAGTGAAAGCGGGGGACAAAAAAGCAATTTTCATATACCATTGTGACCTTGAACTTTGACCATCTGTCCGTATTTACCAATTCATGTAATGCCACATGTAGTTATTGTCCACCAGAAATGTAATTTTGTTTCTTCATGCTGTTTAAAACAAAAGTATTAGTTAGGACACAGAAAAAAAATGTGCTTAGTTTCCTTAAATCTCCATCTAAATCGAGGTATTTTGATCTTGACCTTTGACCTTTTGTCATGAAAATTGATTTTTCTCCTTGTTTTTGCTATTGTGTACCGCATAACTAAATTTGGTTTTAATCCATTTTAAAATACTCAGGTACTTATATGGAAACTGATTGTTGGTAACTACTGCCCTTGTCTGGAATTCTTTAAAAAAGCTTAAGTTTGTAACCATGGTAACATGAAAACAAAATATGAATACCAAGTGTTTCTCTGCAGTTTATATAAGAACTATATATGGACTTTCAAACCAATGTATTTATTTTTTCCCAAATGTCCGCAAAATTTTATACCAGGCTTTTCAAAAGAGCCTAAAATCTACAGTTTTTTCCCAGAAAAATCCTGCCTTAAAACGGGCGATATTTTTTCTATTAGATAAAGTTACTCAAATACTAGAAATTATCTAAAGAACTACAAAAATGATGTATTTTGGCAAAAAGGTGAAGTCATGTAAATATCTTGTTGTATTAAAGACCTTTAATTTGTCAAAAATGGTCATTTTTCATCAAAATTTAGCATTTTTTAGGCTATGAAAAATGTATGTTGGTTGCCATGGTAACCATTGACCATAGCAACCATTTTATTATGAATTTTAGTTTCATACATCAATATAGGAATGTGTGCCAAGTTTCATAAAAATCTAAGACATAGCGTGCCACACTCCCTATATAAGAGTTTAAATGCTTACAGAGAATGGCTATTAAAATGAAATCTAAATAGAAGAACGTCGCTTGCTGAAGAAAAACGAACAGATGAAACAAAGTTTAGGAAATTTTATTTCTTTTTAATATTGTAGGTAAGGTAAACTTGCATTGGATTGTTCGTATTAAGGATAAATTGATTTTTTTTTTTTCAATGTAAAAACAATAATACAATTATCATATAAAAGAAGAATAACATATATTTTCACAGTAATACTTTACTCGTCATTTTTTACTTTAAATTCATATGATCATACATTCAACTTTCTCAGGATTAAAGACTCCACATATTGGGATCAATGGCACAGAAAAGTTGACAGAGTTAACGTATACAGTTCTCTTCCACCCAGATCTCAAAAGGTTACATAACGGTGTACTCAACTTACAATTACATCGAGTCCAAAAGCGAATGTAGTTCCTTCAGTACAGAAAAATAATATAGTTTCCTATTAACAGGTGTTGAATCTCAGACAATTTAGTATCACATGTGGTATACATACTCAAACAATATGGCAATAGTCTCCATAATAAAATATATCAAATTCTTTATCACAAAACGTCACATCAAATATAAAATCAGACCCTCTACATGTCTTTGTGAAAGTTAGAATTCTAGAAAATATTTACCATCATACTAATGGACTTTTGCGAGAAGCACTGACTTTTACACTCGACGGCTTACTTTGACATTTAAATGTGTGTTATGTACGGAGGTACGGACTTGATATTAGATTAGAAAACCTTACTAATGGTCATAGGTATGGTGTTAGGGGCACTTACATGATTTACTTGTATGCAATCAACACAAGAGGTGATGGGAGGTAGAATAACATAACTTAAATTACCTTATTTGTGAGGGATAGTATTTCCTTTCTATCTTATTTAAAATATATTTAATAAATCAAGTTTCATATATCCTTAAAAAAGATTTGAGAGCATAAAGCAGGACCCATATGAACAAACTGTATTTTTCATGTGGCTGTGACGACACTTTCTTTATCATCATTTTAAGCTTCACAGTTTAAACAAAATCAAACTTTCAAGTTGCACATACATTTTCAACATCGGTGGTATTTTCTTTTTCTCAAGACGATATCCATATTTCAATTTTCCCTCTCCCAGTGCATTTATTAATTGAAATTTACGAAAACTATTACAAGAAAACTTAAAATTTAACAAATTTAAAATGATCTTAAATATGTTTCAAATTATGTAATTCACGTCGATTATTTAACCATCGACATTGTTAAGAATTTGGTGAAATCGAAATAGTATGAAGGGCAATAATTAGAACTTTAAAAATTCCTTTTGCTGAAAAGTTAAAATCTTCAATAAATCATTAAAATGGCACCTTATTTTGCTTAAATGAAAAAAAGTGGTTTTAACTAAATTCACAATACTTTGGAGACAAATATTTTGTCCCAACACATCAAGATTCCCATGTGTGAATAGAATACTATTCCAAAATGTCTATCTAAAATATATCTTTTAAGAAGTCATTTTTATTATTTATTTGTTAGTCAAGGTTATGATAAAAATCTTTTTTGCACACTGATTGTCGTTATTTTCGTACCATAATTTTGTAAGTTAGATTCTATATATACTATCAATCTTATCTGTTGGGAACTACCTATGTAAGTCTTCTTTGACCACATTGACACAGTGGTTGAAATTTGTTAGTGTACAATGTATACCACTCTATTTCAATGCTGAACTATCAAGCTTAAGTACTCTCAATTAAACTCTCAATCATTTTCCCATGAAGAGACATATATAAGCTTTATTATCAATTCTTGCTTTAATTTATTCCATATAAGACAATGGTTGTTTTCTTTTTTTTTTTTTTATTTTAAACTGTGTTCTCCCTAGCTAGCTTAACTAATCTCACCTTTTGCTTGACCCACTGTATTATATGTATATATGTTTTATATGTTTTATATGTTCATGCACCTCATGTACCATTTACATGGTTTTGAATAAATGAATTGAATCGAACTGAAATTGTCAATTAATAACCATGCAATAATTAAGCTGTTAATATCAAGGTAAGTGATCTTTTAATTGACATTAATGATACCAACAGATCTTTATGTTTTCAAAGACTGTTTTCATGAAAACCCGGAAGAATAAATAATTAACACGTGTCACATTCGTTAACTTTTTGTATATTATGTCTTAATTTAAATCAAAACTTTTTGTATCAAACAATTGCTTTACGTTCCTTAGAAGCAGAACAAAATAAATATGATCAATGTAAATGAGGCAGCAAGAGCTGCAATATTTTCCTTATGATTCGGGTGAGTCACCATGTTCCATCTAATATTAATTTTTGTTATTTCTTTTTTTATTTTATTTTATGGGTTGAAAGGTTATCAAAATTATTAAAATCCCTATCTGAAAATTAAATTAATGGCAAAGAATAGTGAGTTATCGGTCCTGTCCAGGTGGCGCCGTATTACCCGGTCCTTCACGATTTCCGGTGTCAGTGTAAACATAGCGAATTCTAGTTAATGAGCGTTTAATTTGTCCCTTTAAAATGCCTGCAACTTGCTGCTCAGTTCCTGGTTGTCATGTTAGGGGAGGACATGAATTCCCTGCGAATCCAGATCGTCGGAAATTATGGATTAATGCTGTGAGGCGATTGGATCAGCATACGATGAAAACATGGGTCCCATCGAAGACAGCAGTCGTCTGTAAGGAACACTTTACTGCTAACGACTATGTGCAGGAGACGATACACGGTAACGAGCGCATTATTTTGCTTTAAAAGAATGAAATTATCGAATATTTAAATAAGACAATTTAATTGCAGGGCAACAGGGGTATTTTACGTATGTGCTCAACACGACACTAGCCTAGTGCTAGCGCTATACAATATTATTAAAATGAAGTAAAATCAGCCAGATGTGTGTTGTTTCACGCATTTTAATTATCTGATATGTTTTTCTGCAATTAAAAAATCATTTATAAACTTAAAGGTCGTAATCACGGTAATGTAGGCATTGCATAATCATTATAATATATTTTCATCAAAGATACCAGAGACATATATACTATGATTTAAATTGATTTTATATGTTGTCACACACATTATCGTATCGTGTTTTCTTAATTGATACTGCATTTTTTAGGGAAAAAACATCAATAAGACGACTGCGATTATCAGCTGTGCCCAGCATTTTCCCCTGGACAAACCAAGAGTCAGAATCTTCTTCTAACAGAAAAGAAAGAGCTGCTGAACGAGAAAGGGCGAGATCCAAGGTTGAAAACAGTTGTAGGAAAAATTTAGAGGAATGCTTTAGTAAAGATGATGATGCAAATATAGAAATGCAAGAAGAAGTTATTGTTATTTCTGAAGTAAATATTTGTGAAGATAGGGAAAGTGATATTATGTCTAAGCAAGAATCTTTTGGGAAAGCAACCCAAACCCAAAATAAACCAATGTTTGATGTGGAGAATTTTGTGAATGACAATGTAGGGATGCATTTTTACACTGGTCTAGAAACTTATTGTAAGTTTTTATTTGTTCTTCGGACATTAGGTCCATCTGCTTATTGTTTAAAATACATTTTTTTTCAAGTAGACAATCAAACTATTTCTGTTGAAAACCAGTTTTTCATGACTTTGATGAAACTTAGGCGTTATTTAACCAATTTTGAATTGTCCAGATTTTTTTCAGTGTCTGAGTCAACTGTTAAAAATATTGTTAACACATGGATAATTTTCATGTCAAAGCAATGGCAAGAAGTTAATATTTGGCCATCTCGTAGTTTAGTCAAATACTTTGCTCCTTCTGATTTTAAAGCAAAATTTCCTACAACTAGAATTATTGTTGATGGCACAAAATGTCCAATCAAAAAGCCTAAGGCTCCAAGGGCACAGCAGGCTACATTCTCATTATACAAAAATCGAAACACTATTAAGATACTTGTTGGCTCAACATCAGGTGGATTAGTTAGTTTTATATCAAATGCTTATGGAGGTAGTACAAGTGATAGGCAGATTGTAGAGAGATGTAAGCTAGTGAACCTATGTGATCCTAAAGACAGCGTAATGGCTGATAAGGGTTTTAACGTTCAAGATCTTTTTGCACGGATGGATGTCACTGTAAATATTTCAACTTTTTTCAGAAAAAGAAATAGAATGAGTGGAAAAATTCTTCTTAGGGATAGGAAGATTTCTAGTAAAAGAGTACACATTGAGAGAATAATTGGTCTAGGAAAAACTTATAAAATTCTTACCATTCCATTGAATAGCATAGAGACAAAAATATCATCTCATATCACTTTTTGTTGTTACATGTTGTGTAATTTTAGAACATGCATCATTCCTAAGGATGCTTAAAGGCTTAGTGCATATGTTGTCAAGTTTTCAAATCCTGTAATACATTTTGCTCATAACATCTTGAGAAGCAATGTTTTGTATAATTTAAAGAATAACAAATTCAGATAGCAGTTTAATATGTAATAAGTTTACTTATTGAATGGTCTGTAAAAATGTTTAACAAGTAATGCAGGTTTGAAATACACATAATAGAAGTTGTTTAACTTGTCAATCATGTCCAAAATAAAAGCTTCATCTCTGGAAACTGATACATATTTTATGTCATTGATTTTCAAATTGTCAGCATGACAGACAATGAGTGTACATTCTTTTGCTCCAGTACATAGCATTTGGCCCTGAATTTGATAAAAGTAGTCATGTTTATCATCCAAGAAGTATGTTTCATTTTCATCATTCTTAAGATATGGCACAGTTTTAACATTTATTGGTTTATCTCTAGATGTATAGGGACACTTAACTTCAACAATTAAATTATTTGAAACAACCCCATCTGGCGACGAAGCTAAGTGTGGGAAATCAAATGACACAAAAAGTCCACAAGGATTGACTCTGAGTCCAGTATCTTCCATGTATCTTTGCAAAGCAGTATTCTCGTGTCTTCTACCGTGTTCCAAAGTGGCTGCTTTAATCTCTGACACAACTGTTAAAGAATTGGCCAGCTTTATCATATCTGTGCACTCTGTAGCTTTGCAAATTCTACCATACATTGATGATGGTAACCGCAATGTTCTTTCATTTTTCCATGCAGAGTTATTTGCCTGACCCCTAGTCCTTTACTCTATAGCATTAATTCTTTCCTGAGTAATATTAAGTAGGCCAATTCTTTCAAGAAAGTTATCTTGAGGTGTAAGCTTCAAATAATTATGGTCATGTGCAACAGCATATGCATTAGCAGGTTCAAAGAGTTGAAATATAGGCATATTGGATATGCCTGAAAAATTTAAACAAAGGTTTCTAAAATAATCATTGTAGCTGGGAGCATTTCTAAGGTGATCTGGTCTTGGATCAAAGTCCATATTGGTAAACTCGTCTGCACCTGGCATGCTGATGTTTTGTGACTTTATTGGACTACCGAGGAACCTCTTGCACTTGTGAAAACTCTGCAGTTTTTGTGTACATGTCTCTTCAACCTTTATGTTTCTGAACTCTTTGAACATGATAGAGGCATATATCACAGCGCATACATGCTTGCAGTGAGCACTAGGTCCCTCCATTATAGACCCACTTTTGTCAAGTAACAAATCAATCTCGTATGAAATTCCTTTCCTGTATTCAGCATAGCAACTAGAGGCAACATAAGTTAAATCATTATCATAGGATATTTTGAAATACCGAATTGTTCGTTCATTATATAACCGCTTTACTTTATTGTCTAATTGCTTATCAAATTTGGCAAGGTAACTTGTCAGTTTCTCAAGTGTAGTACCAGAAAACGTAGAGTCGGCATTTACATCAAAGTACGATAATGGGTCAGGAAACGTCATCCTAAATTCGGGCTCTAAATCTTCTGTCTGTCCAAAATTCTGGTTTAGGCAATTAGTCTAAAACAAAGGTAAAATGATCAACTTAAGCATTTCTCTATCCATTTGTTTTTAACAGAACGGCCGTGTTTATTATTGTATAACATGCGTGTGTACACACTGCACCGTAAACACCGACATTGTATATTAATATGTATACACGTGTTTTTAGACGCAGTTTATAAGTAGTCTTGAAAAAAAAATTATATTTAGTAAAAGTTCTAAAAATATTGATAACTTTCCCCTAAACTTACTCTAATTTCAGCGTAAAGCATGTTGTACATATACTTATGTACATGTGTATTGACCTCTTTACTCTATACAAAATGCCGTTAATTTACCGATCGGGGAATAATAATAATTATATATACCTTTCAACTAATTCTTTTTTACGACCAGAAAGTCGCGCATTTCTTTTTTTTAATTCATCTTTAAGGTCTTTGATGGTCATATTTGCATACTTTGTGCTTGAACACGCCATCGCTGCTTGATGTAAACAAATGATGCTGGACCGGGAACACTGCTGCCGTCTAGCGATCAGCAGCAGGAGATAACCGACTATTGTTTGCCATTCTACACGAAAAAATCTGGAATGTGACGTTAAAAACATACAATTAACTAGTTCTAATTGTAACGGTCTCCGTTACTCCTCCTACTCCCTTTGGGGCCCCATTCCCTATATTAAGCAAAACCTTTGTATAATAGACTTTGACAACTTATTTTCAAAAGTTTTTTGAAGAAATAACAATGCAAATATAGCACAGCGAGTATAAGCAAATCAGATTTAATTACACGTGCAAGCACGTGATTTAAAAATTTACCATATACATCTACAAAATCTGATAGAATGCCAAAATAAAAAGCTCCATTTAGATTTCAAAGAATTTTACTAAAAACAAAAAGTTACAGCAATATGAATATTAATTAGATATCAGCTCGCGTGCATGCATTTCCGTATATAACATGTTGTAAAACCTTATAGTACATGCTTACATCTTAATTTTCAAAAGATTTTGTCAAAAAAACAAGGAAGATATTGAGATTTATGTTTCAGCAAATCAGAGCGAAGCGCATGTGCATGTGTTCATGCTAGTTTGACCATGTCATCTTGTCTACACTACTAATGTATCTTTATGTTTTGAGTTTCAAAGCATTTCATAAAAAATATAAAAGTTATGGCTATATTAAGTATATTTATGTATTGCTAAAGAAGAACTACCAGAGGCTTTCAGTCGGAGCAAAATGGTTATACATAATATAGTTTTAACACTTATCTTATCGGTTTCTTTTAGATGTGTTTCTTGAAGACATATTGCTACTGGGCAATGGTCCCTAATAAGTAAATATAATTCGTTAAAATCAACTGTAAAACCTCGACAATTCCACTGAATAATTTTTATTTATTGTGGGTGATAGGGGATATCCTCCCATTATTCTTTTTTCGAAAAAGGTTTCGGTCTTTTGAAGAAGATGAATGTGATGTAGTAAAATCCATTTCTTCAAGGACCCCGAAATTATTATGTAAAGCAACGGGGTCTGCTGTACCCTTTGGTATCCGATCACTCAACTGTTTTTTTGGAAGGAGACGTGTATTCGATGGTCTAGAAGTAGCTGCAGGCCTGGATACAGCCGCAGCTATAGGTTTTGGCGCAGCCGCAGCTGCAGGACCCACAGAAGCAGGCATTGTTTTCGTTTTACCTTTGTCAATAGATGACAAAGACACCTTTGAAGAAGAGGTCTGTTGGAGAATATCATTCTCGCAGACCTGTGGTGGACATATCCCTCAATGAGGATGTTTTCAGAACTGTTGCATATGATGTCAGTTTAGGTGTCGGAACACTATACATGTTAACTAGTTTTTTTGCATCTGGATAAGGTATTCGTTTTTCTACTTTAACTTTCTGTATTTCCTTTTCTTTTTTCCACAATGGGCATTGTTTTGAAGACGCCATGTGTTATCCCTTGCAGTTTTTACACTTTGGGTCATTCTGACAAGTTTTGCCGTCATGCCCCTCCTTACCACACCTGAAGCATTTCCGAGCCTTTACAATTCATTTGCCCATGCCCAAATCGCTGGCATTTAAAGCAACGCAAAGGGTTGGGTATAAATGTTTCAATTTTCATTTGGTACAGTCTCACTTTTATATTAGTTGGGAGAGTCGGCATAGCAAATGTCAAAAGGTAAGTGTTTGTAGGTTCAATCATTTCATTACGCTTTTTTGTGAACCGTTTAACAGAGATCACTCCCTGGGATACCAATTCATGTTGGATTTCCTGTTCAGGAATATCTTCCAGGTCGTGATCCCTGTCAAACACGAGACCTTTACTCTGGTTTAGTCCACTGTGAACTTTTCCGAGTACCGGAATATCTGCCAACATTTTAAGAGCCAACAATGAAACTGAATGTTGTTTCTTGCTTACTTCAATAAGTAGAGCTCCAGATTTCAACTTTTTCACAGATTTGGGCGTACCAATAATTCCTTGTATGCCTTTTTGTATAATAAAAGGCGATATTTTTGTTAAAGGATTTTTTTGCTGATCTGATAACTGTGCTTCAAGTGTGATGAAGCGGGGCCAGTGTTCCGCAACAGTTTTTAATTGCTCATCATTGAACGAGTCTAAATCTGATGGGTAAGAACGTTTTTTAGAAGAAGCCATGGTTATATGAAGGAAGTTCAGAATCCTTGCTCCCCGCCCGCCTCGGAGCGCCAACAAGGGCGATATCTAGTCAAACGGACATACAGTAAGACCGACACCAAGAGGATACAAAGAAACTATACTCAGACATGATATGCCTGATTGACCCTAAGCCACCGCTTAATTTAAATATCAATATGGAAACGTCGGCGTATTGGTAAGTTGCAAAAAATGTAAACAATTGTTGAATAGGACATTGCAAAAACATCAATACTAGAGGCATATAGATATTATAAGCTCGGCGTGACCAGCGGATTGATCAAGTCGGGCCAAAGTTGACCTCCCGTCTAGATGAATATGGGGCCAAAGTGGAATGTTGGTCAGACAGGTGCATTACACCCAGCACCTGCAGACCTCAGCCACCAGGATCCCCTTCTCTACCAACACGGGTCGCAACTCACGGCCAACAGGTCGCCCCATTTAGTCGCCTTTTACGACAGGCAAGGGGGTGCCAGGGACCTATTCTTGTCACCCCGGATCCCCACGGGGGTGAATATAAAAGAAATATGGCGGAAAAGGGAGTACGGGAATGAAATAAGTCGTACAAGGATGAAAATATCACATATTTAAGAGTTCATGTCAGCTTTAAGGTGTCTGGGAAGCACAAAAATATTTTATGTGGAAGTATACGTGTATTTAACGATTACAAGCCTTGCTTTGTTGAATATTTCAAGAAAAAAAGATTAGACTGTCGGGATTTTAACCTTGGACTTATAAAAAATTCTGAACTTTAAAACTGTTTTATCATTTGGCAACAATATTACACCTTTTTCTTTATGGAGTGGACTCATCATGAGTGTAAATACTCCAGTAATTCCAGTTAAAAATTACGTACAGTAATGGAGAATCTCCGTGTGGATATATATATATATATATATATATATATATATATATATATATATATATATATATATATATATATATATCCTTATCTTCCTGTACGGGAAATAGACTAGCAAACATGCTAGATTTTCCAAATCGATCAACAAAGATGCCTCTGGTAAGATAAACCAATCTCACCTTTC